AAAGCGAACCACTTGTGCTCATGAACCCAAATTCTATTTTAAAAGCACTTATTCTCATACGTGGTGGTTATCTTAGCATCAGCCCCGCCAGGGGTTTTAAAAGCACTTTGGGAGAAATTTATCATACATATTTGAGAATTGAATCTGTAGTGGTTGGCAAGTAAATAAGGCAAACCAATAATATTCATAAATAAAACAACTTTTTAGACATATATCTGCTACCACTTTCTAATTTTTAAAAGATTTCATATTAAATTGTTCTTTTACAAATTGGTTTACCATCTATCAGTATTTTGAAAATAATTCTTTTTAGTGGTAGCGAACCAAAGTAGAAATTTTTAAAGCAAATGGATCTCTCATAAAACTTTTATCAGAACTTAAGAATCTAGCCATATGGTAAGCCACTTTTATAAGTAATAGTGGACAAGTTACGCTAAAATTAATTTTTTTTAAATATTAAGACATTAATTTTGCTACCGTCTGAAAAGAAGATTTCTGAAACTACGGAAATTCCGTAGCAGTTGGAGGGTATGCGGCATCTAATAGCATATCTGCCGACTTTTACGCATTTGGCGTAAAATTTTATATCTATATTTAAAGCTTTAGTGAAATGCATGCTTTCTATATATTCCTCGCATTTATAAACTTAATTTATAATCTTTTTNCCGCAGCGCTACCAGCGCACCCGCAAAATAAATAGTTTACAGTCCACGTTTGATTTTATACACCCGCAAGCTATCGGCCAAACAACTATCATGGTTGTTAATTTAAGTTTTCTCAAAAACAACGTATTTGTTTGCATAAAAGTGAAGTTTTAATTCCATTTTAATACCACTGGGAAAAATGATAATGGAAGGAATTAAAAGTTGGCAGGTATGCAGTTGGCGTAAAATTTTTTATCTACATTTAAAGCTGTAGTGAAATGCATGCTTTCTGTATATTCCTCGCATTTATAAACTTAATTTATAATCTTTTTGACCACCACTATTTTTAAAAATATTAAACAGCTATATTAATATGCAATACTGTTTTAATTGTCCACAGAAGCTCTTTCGAAATACAACGCATTTTTTTACCTAACCTTGTAATTCCATTTTACTACCACTGGGAAGAAACATCCTCGCTGGGCTTAAGAGTTGGCAGGTATGATATAGGTCTGATCGGACTACCTTCAAAAAACCGTGTGGAGGCTTTCAGTTATAGGAGGCGTTGGTTGTATGCGATTTCATCTGTCGAAGCAGTGTGCTGCTGCAGGGAGTTGGCAGGATTTATGCATTCGCCACGAGGTCACGACTCTCATACACTAAGGTCTTCACTGCCGTACTTATAACTAGATTCATCACTGAAGACGGCCTAGTCCCATTCTTTTGCAGAACAATTTCGTCTAGAATGACACCACTTTAAACGGAGTCGACGATTGGCGGGAGGGGTTACGTTGCGATGATTTGTGATGCCATCGCATGCGCCACACAACCACCCCTTATATGAGACCATAGTGCTATGACAGCTCAGTAGTACATTCATGACATCCTTCAGCCTACTCATAACAGTGCTCCTAAAAGCCATTTTTCAACAAATAATGCTCAGCCATACGCAGAAAGGCTGCTACAGGAATTCCTCCCCTGGACTGCATGATCCCCAGATTTGTTACCGAACGCGCATATCTGAGACCACTAGGAATGGCAATCTAGACAAGCCCAGAGTTTAGTCATTTCACCAGTGCCTTTAGACCAACTGTGTGGAATGAGATGCAGCAGAGCACCACAGGGGACTTGTATGTCTCAATGCCCCACCGGATCGCATTTCGCTGGAGATGGTTCATGATGATAATGAATTTACTATTCATTTGTATTTACCCTTGCAATAAATGATCCTTCTAGCTTTGATCAATCGTTAAATTATGTTATTATAGTACTCAAGCATGGAAAATTTCCTTTCAATTTGAGTTTAGACAGCGGAACTTAAATCGAACTTCTTAATTTTTTTAATCTCAACTTTAGATCATTTTTAATCATCGTTTTTTTAAATAGAAGAAACAATGAAACTTCTCGGGAGCGAGGTTTCATTGTATCTTCTATTTTCTTCATTGTATCTTCTATTTCATTGTATGCTCTCTGTTCCACTGTCAAATGGTCGTTAATGGTCTTTCCCAGGGGTTACCTTCAGTGACAAAATGATATCGGTGAATATTGGCCTTAATTCGAAAACAACACACACAGAGAAACGTCCATGCCCTGAGCCGGATTCGAACCCACAGCCATTGGCTTCGTAGTCAGGCACGCTAACCGCTTGACCACCTGGCAAGATATAACCATACATGTTTTGAAATACGTAATCTGAACTTTATTAACAGTGCTGTTTGAGAAGCGTGTAAAAATTAAATTAGCTTTAAATTGAAAATCTTAAACAATAAAAAAATTTTACTTTTTTAGGTTTGATTTCAACACCAATTTCCTTAAACACTGTTGATCCGCCTGATATTACATCACTCAACTAAAAGGAAGAAAGAAAATAAAATGCACTAATTGCAAATCAGCAAACACAAATAAATAGATATCAGTAATAAAAAAGAAAACAATAAAAAAAAATAGACTGTATTAACTGTGAATGTGTAAAAATTTAACTAAAAAATATCTTTTTAGTATTTAGATTGTCGAAACAACATATGGGTATCACTCAAAGCAAATATTTAAGCCGAAGCAAAAGTTATTTTTAACATGTTCACGCCGGGATGACCCACCAGTGGGTCACGCTAGATTTTCTCTCAGATTTTCTCACCGGAGTAAAAACAGGTAACAATAAATTTCATTATTTAGTTTTTTTCCGGGAATAATAAAAATCCATAACTACCAATTGTTTTTAACGGATGCAATTTTTAAATAGAATTGCTTCTTCGCCGCCATAAATTTCCTTACAGTGAATTATTATTGCTAAGAATAGATTAACTCCTCGCGAATATTATCTAATACTGAAATAGTTATTCTACCAGTATTTTCTCTTTTCCCGTGCCAGTATTTTCACTTTTCCCGGCGTGAACGTGTTAATAATATTAATAAAGTCTTTAATGTTTCTGAAATGTAATTGCAAAATTTTTCTTCAAAAATAAATTTACTGCTGTGATATTACTACCACTTTGTTACTGAAATAAAGATATTATTTCACAAAGTAATATTTTGACAAATTAGAGATATTAACACATGGAATGCCACGCAAATTTTACATGGATTGACCGTCTTGCCACACAGTAAATAACTAAAAACTAAATTTGCAAAGATAAACACTAGGTTTACGGACGTTTCTTATATACCTATCTCTACGGACACACGACATTTTGACGTATGAAAGAATTGTGATTCTTAATTTAATAAATTCAATTTAGTAGATTTTTATCCACCACTATTTCTAAATAATTCGTATATAATTCACCACTTCATATTTCAAAATTTACTTTGTTGTTATTTAAAATTATTTTCGCGTGTCCGGAGCAGTTGGCATCTCTGCACTTAGAAACCAATGTATATGTATACTTAGTTGTTAACGT